CGTCTTAATGGACTGTCGCTTATCTCGGGTGGACAGAAGAGAGCGCCGGATGGACTGGAGTTAGCGTCGAATTAACTGAAGTGAGTGTCGGATGAACTGGAGTTAGAGTTGGATTAGCTGGAGTGAGTGTCGGGTGGACAGAAGAGAACGCCCGGTGGACTGGAGTTAGTGTCGGATTAACGGGAGTGAGTGTCGGGTAGACAGGAGAGAGCGCCAGGTGGACTGGAGTGAGTGTAGGGTGGACTGGAGAGAGCGTCAGGTGGACTGGAGTTAGTGTCGGATTAACTGGAGTGAGTGTCGGTTGGACTGGAATGAATGTCCGGTGGACTGGAGTGAATGTCAGGTTGACGCGAGTGCTTGTGGGTTGGTCTGCCGTGTCTGATGAGATGACGGAAATTGGGATACGATATTTGTTCTTCGGCTGCTGTCACGGAGACGAGAGCACCAGAAGCCCAAATCCGTCTGGGGAATGGCCTCCCGGAGCCCTGGATTTGTCCGTCCGTCAAGCTGCCGAGCCTGCTGGTGGGGAGCCTGTAGAATGTGTCCCTGTAGAATTAGCCGCGAGAGGGAAGACGCCGTCACATTTGTTAGCAGCATGGTGCAACAGGATGCATCCTTGAATGCAAACATTTGCCAGCGCAAATTGGATATTGGCATATAGCCATAGTCACAGCCACAGGCATTCATAGCAGTCACACTTCTAACAAAATAGGCTCGACAGAAACTTCGGAGTTCATGGATGTTCCCTGCACGCATCATAGCAATCCTTATGTTGGCACATTTCATTTTTCTTGACGGCCCAACAACCCCAAAAACCATCCGAACTCAAAGTGGCACGGCGCCGCGAAAAGTCCATTGTCTCCGGTAACCCGGCAAACGCCGGAGACACCGCTGCGTATGCCTGTCATCTAGCGGGAAGTAAAAGAACTAGTCGTTATGCTCATTGGCGCTCGTAACTGAAACCCTGGGCGCCAGCGGACAGGCGCCTCTCTGTTTCCAGGGTCGGATCGAAAGGGTCATGGTCATAAGATCATGGCCTTCCCCTTGGGCCCCGTAAAGCCTTGGTGACCAACATCGTGCGGTGAAGGGGATGAAAACCTTTATTTCGGAACCGTACAACCTTTAGGCAAATGAGCACGAAACCTTCATTTCGGGCAATATGGCCTTCATTTCCACGAGCTACCCCATTCCATAGGACCCGGCAAAGTGTCTTGAATCTTTATTATTAAGGGACACTAGACTCCATAGGCATAACAGTGTTGTGCCTTCCACCCTGATAAGACTCTGGATCGGTTTTTGGGGGAGGAGGTGCCAAAACCTGCATTGCATGGCATCATAATCTTTATTTTCAATAGGCAGCACATCCAAGCGGACCATTGAAAGCGTCTAGCATTATTTGAAAGGCGGGTAAAAATCAAGGGGCACCATAGTTTCCGTGCACTTAACTCTGCTGAAATTTTGGGATCGACCCGTCCAGCGAAGTGACGATAAAAATCTTCAGTTTGGAGCATCATAACCTTCATTTTCCACAGACACCTAATGCTAAGGAGCACTGCAAAGGGCCCCAAAACCTTCATTTTCGAGAAGCAGCAAATTCGAGGGTCACCGCAATACCCGTGTCTATCTATTGACAACATGCTCAGTCGGCCCGTCCGGTGAGGGGGCACCAAAACGTAAATTTTCGGGCACCATAGCATTTATCTCCTTGAGGCACCAAATACAAGCGACCCATTGAAAGGGCCCCGAAGCTCAAATCTCTAGTGGGCACCAAAATTCGAGGGCACCGCACTTCCTTTACCCTCCAGCCTGATGAAATCCAGGATCGGCCCTTTCGGTGAGGGGGCCCCAAAACCTGCATTGCGGACATCATAACCATTATTTTTATGCTGCACCCAATTCCAAATTATACTCCTTGATTCAAAGGGATGACAAAGTCCAGGAGCACCACAAACGAGTCCAAATTGTTAGCTCAAAGAGAAACCAAAATCCATTGGCGCTCACATCTGAGGTATTAGTGGGGGGAGTACAGGGACACATAGCTCTCCCCTCCCCTCACTTTTAGGTAAGGGCCCGGTTGGAGAGTCCGAAGAGCAGACCAGAGGTGATATGACGAGACTCCAGCCCCAAAGCCAGACCCCGAAATGACAAAATGTCAAATGTCGTGTCCCACATGCTGGATTCGCCTCTTTGTGTTTTCTGTGAAAGCTTTCATTTGATTCAGCAATATTATGTGTGATTCAGCAATAACTGATGGGATTAATTTTGTAGCACCCATTTTGTATTACTTATCGTGTAACTAGATATCAGCTGCGTAGCGGCTATGACAACAATATAAAGCCGTATAAGTATATTGTATACAAACATGTATTATTCTGTAGGATTTGGAGGTGTCTAAACTCTCAAAAATTGGCAGAAACATAAACATTAGCTTCATAAAGGTGAGGACTAGGTGCCTCTATTCCGATTTTTTAAAATCTACCAAAATTTTCGTGCCAGTTGTGGCGGACGTCCAACTCCACATCCACAACCGAGCCAGAGACGGCCAGTTTCGTCCACAGATCAGCGTCTCTGGCGCTGATCTGGAGACGGAAAGGAAGACGATCTGCCTGCAGATCAAAGCCTGTTCGGATTGTAGCCCGGGAGTCAACTTCTGCCTCCAGATCACAGTCAATGAGTCAAACGCCACCTCCTGGTTCAGATCAGAGGATGGAACTTTCTCGTCCATCTCCAGATCAAAGCCAGAGCCGTCCAACTTCACATATGGGTGGCAGCCAGGGGCGTTCTTTTCCTTATCCGCACGCTGTGGAAGGTGGAAAATCCAGCTCGACGATGGATGTGATCAGGCTGAGCTTTTAAAGTGATTGGGCCATAGCAATGAATTGTTTTTTTACGACAGTTCCCAGAGGCTGAGTGAATCTTCCTCGAATAAAGAGAACCATGGAATTCGAGTGACACGCCCCGACCGTCCCGCTTCCTAGAAAGCTAATATCTTTAAGACCATTGGTTGCAGTTCCATGCTGTCGAAACAACATGAAAAGCAAATCCGTAAAGCTGTGCTCGGGAAGTCGTTGCATTTGCATGCAAGCTGTTCCATTGGGGTGGCTCTCATGCATGACTGAAATGGTACAAAGTATATCTCTTCCCCATTCGGCTCATGCATGGCACATCAAGTTCGCTAAATGTAGAAGGCAGGGCTTAAACACCAATTAAAACTTGCCCCGGACCTTGATGGCTTGTGGGCGCACCGACACAGGACCAGACCATTTCCACCGAGAATAAAACGGACCTCGGCATTGGTAAAGTTATGAACTGATGTGTGTAGCCAGTCCAGCTGTATCGGATGTACGCTCCGGACGCCCACGCTGTTGGGACGTTATTGAAGGGGTGATGTCAGATCCTGACAGTCATAGCGAATAGGGGCTTCAGGAAACCATCTGCATCAAGTGGACGAGTGCACCGTTCAATAAGCAATCTCACCGCAGTCCAGCCCATAGATACTCTAATGCTAGCTTTCAAGGACCAGCCTCGAACCCTGCAGCACGCTATGCTCTGAATAAGGAGAGACCGGGCCAAGTATTTTCTTTGATTAGTTGTGAAACTTGTGAGTTGGTACGTAAATAAGCGCTGAAGACACTAATAGTAAACACTACCTGATGAAAATACTAATACCACCTAATGAAAAGACCACCAAGCACATTAAACCGGACACAAAATCACGATTGCAAAATCAGCACTCAAACAATTTTGAAAACCCCCACATGTGATGTTGTTTGTGGTCCGTGACGTGTTACAAGTCCACGCAACACAACCACCACGAGTGTCACTGCGCTCTCTCTCTCTCGTTCGCCACGGGCCTCCCGTGGGTCGAGGAGCTCATGACGATGGCGAGCACAGGCCTCAGAGGAATTTTTAGTTTGTGCGGTCATACGAGCCAAATAACCACACCACCAACACCGGAGCACTGGAGCACAGCTACGACAGTGCCCTCTGTTAGATTGCTCCACCAGTTCCGCGCACTCATCGCTCCTGCGGCGAACTCAGCGAACGCCGGGAGCCCGTTGTCGAAGTTTATGACGGAGTGTTGGCGGGAGACCTTCCAAAGTGCGATCTGACTCACTCGATCTCATTTCGATCTCACTTGATTCGTTCGAGCTTGCGATAGTACGATCTCATTCCTTATGGCCAATGCTAAGTCAAAACATAGCCGTGGGCTACAATACTTCGGTCACATCCCCGAAAACGTGAACCATTCCAAATCATCAGTTGCGTCGTCTACGACTGCTACGTCTTGCAGGCTCAAAGCTATCAAATGTCGAAGCAATGCCATTCAATATGTGATGTGGGATCGTAAAGCATCATTGCACACCCGCGCGTAAATCTCAACAAGGAATATTACGCTACTTTGGTGGAATATTACGCTACTTTGGTCATCCGGGTTCCCAAGAGCGACGGATCCTTTTGCGGAGTCATTCGCTATGATTGTGATCATGCCTGCCTGATGGTAGCACTATGTCTGCTCATCACCTCGCTCGTTCCAGGCCGCCAAAGACGTCTTGCTGGTGTAGAGTTGCGGCATCCGGTGACAAGCGTATAGAGTTCGGCATCTGCAGATTTGTACGTCATCTATTTGTCTTGTTAGCCACTCACTTTTTATCTCACAGCATTACAGCAAAGTCTTGGACTTAGCATGGAACTCTGGTTAGTGCTATCATGAACTGGCATTTTGGCAGTAGTTCAATGCTAACGGTCACGACGCAGTGAACAAAAATGAACGCAGTGAACAAACAAAAAAAAACGCAGGAACCAAAAAGAGGAAACGTGGTACTCGCATGTTGTGTACAATAATTTAATATTGTAGAGAATTTTTGTTTGCTTTTTCGTATCACAACCTTCTTCCGGTTCTGGAATGCGTAAAACCATCAAACTTCTCGATATAACCACATAACGGGTCAAAAGTATTATATTATGACATGAGCCGGTGACGTATCTTTACGCTTGTCGGACGATCGTTAGCATGAGTCCAAATAGGGCAGGTACAGTCAGACAGTAAGCGTGTGAGTACCCCGATGAGGCCATCATTAATCCATCGATGATTACCTAACCACTTAAATTTAAGATGTGTGAGGTGCTACCTAAATCTGCTATCGACCGGGCAATGGCAGTATCTGATGTGCAATGGTGTATTTGTTATCACAGTCTATATCGATAGAGATGCACGGACCAGTGGCAATGAACGCGCAACCAACACAACCAATAATACCCGACAGACGAAACTCAACACAGAAAAGAATCAATGTGAGCGGCAAACGCAATCCTCAGCACCGCGTGGTGTCTGCATGGCATTGGGTACCTGCCAAAGATGCTTTACAGACCTGGCTGAGGCTGCAGAGCACGACAGGGCGCTATGCAGACATGCTTATGTGTGGCAACTTCAGGCATTTAGAACGCCATGCAGCACTGCCAGCACAGCAGAACATCCGGACAACCTGTTTCCTGGACGAGCCAGCACTGAGATTAACATGACAAAATTCGTGAAAATCTTTGGGAAAACAGATCAAGAATAAATACGTGCAGCTTAAGGACAATGCGTAGCAATCCACACGATCACGCCACTCTGAGATTGAACTTGAACGCCGCAGTATGACATCGTCAGGTATCTATATTGAACAAACGGACGTATTCCGCGTCCGTGCTCTTGAGCGATCGGTTTGCTTCTGCGTTATATCCAGATGCGTGTCTCGCGTCTTCCGTTCGTAATTCCGTCACCATTCCCTCTTCCCAAAAGAGACCCCCCTTATGCCCCCTCCCCTCCGAGGCCGCTTCGTTCCATCAGAACAGCCCATGGCTGCGTGGGCACAGACCCAGCAGCGCTCCTCAGGGAGGCGTTCAGTGCGCCGTGCTGACGGTTTCGCCGGCCTGGGGGCGGCGGCGGGCGCCTAGCCCATCCGCGGCGGGCGCGTGACCTTCTCGAGCTCGTCGGCGTCCTGCAGGTCGCGCTGGCCGGCCTCCGTGGCCGATTCGGAGATGGCGCTGCCGGCGCTCTTGGTCAGAATCAGGTCCTGCGGCAGGCGCGGCGCTGGTCAGAATCACCTCGGGTGGCGGGCGGGCGTGACACGGGCTGGCGGGCGGGCGTGGGTGGCGGGCGGGCGTGACACGGGCGGTGGCCGAGGCGTAGTGCAGAAGCAGCTGGGGTACCAATGGCCGGCGCCATGGGCCGAGTCCTGATACAGAGGCACATGGGGCACTGATGACCGCGTCATGATGCAGGGACACCAGGGACGGAGTCGGATCTGAGTTAGCTGGTGAGAGCGAGCAGGTACAGCATGAGCAGCGGCATGGTGGCGCCTGTGCAGCAGTACGGACACTGCCCCTGTAGTGGGCGAGTGCACATAACATAACTGATTGTGTCTTGTATTCATTCACTCCTGTGACAGCTTCTTCTCGTATCTTTCAAAGGATGTCTGTTAAGAGGGGCCTGTGTCGTTTGCACGTAACTGATTGGTGACCACGGAACGTCCGCGGCGTACACCCGTCTTCCTTTGACTTTACCTGCAGCTGGTTGACCGCAAAGTTGTCGGAGAGCGTCAAGGCGTTGGCGATCTTGTGGTAGTGGTAGATGAGTGTCTCCCAGGTGAGGCCGCTGAGCGTCTTCTCCTCGTCCAAGCTGGCCTTCCAGTCGTCTTCCTCCCGCACGTGCTGTTTGAGGGCCGCCTCAGCCACCGGGTCCAGCGCCGTTTCGCCCAGTCGGGCGTCCATCTGCGGCAGGGTCATGTCAAGGTGAGCCCGCCCGCTCTTCTGGCGTGACCGCTGCTCACTATACAGCACAATGCAAGGACGGCGAATAGCAACGGTGAGAGGAAATGAAGCTGACGATTTCTGGAGCGGGCCTCCGGGTCTCCTTTAGGTCCTAAGGTAGGTGAAGAACGTTAGAACATGAGCGTGCTGAGAAATTAAGATCGAGAGCTCTATTGCCATAGGGTGCATGGTATACGTTTGGCTGACCTTCGAGGATTATGACAAACCGGCTAGTCAGGTCGCCCAACCGACACCGTTTGCGGATGGTTCGTGCTGTGGTATATTTTATATTTTGCTCGCAATGTCACAGTATGCACGGCGCACACTGTTGTGCAACACAGCGCTCCGAATTCCAGCCCTAAGCTTCCGTTGTAGTGAATTTGCAACATGCAGTAGGCTCGCCCAGCTCGCTTACTCCTGTAGCACTCTCACTAGTCCTAGTGATGAGTAAGCAAGTCGCCTTGGTCTGGCCCTCTCCGGTCCTCTCCGGCCCCACTGCCCCAGCATGCTCCCCAGGGTCGTGGAGCGGTGCTGCCGCCATGGCTGACCTCCTCAAATGTAGCCGTGTCGAGGCCGCGGGCCGCCTCCACCAGCAGCTCCCAAACAGTGAGCATGCATTTGTCGGCGATCACCGGCGGCACGATCTCCTCCTCGATGTAGGCCGCCTTGACGCGATCCTGCTTCAGCTGCAGGCGACGTGGGACAAGTGGTGTTAGGACGCAAGTCCTGTTTCAGCTGCAGGCGACGTTGGATAAGTGGTGTTAGTGTGTTAGGAAGTGGTGACAACAGGTGCTAGGACGCAATCCTGTTTCAGCTGCAGGCGGCGTTGGACAAGTGGTGCTAGGACGCATTCCTGTTTCAGCTGCAGGCGGCCTTGGATAAGTGGTGTTAGGACGCAATCCTGCTTCGGCTGCAGGCGACGTTGGATAAGTGATGTCAGGACTCATTCCTGCTTCAGCTGCAGGCGGCGTCGGATAAGTGGTGTTAGGACGTAATCCTGTTTCAGCTGCAGGCGACGTTGGATAAGTGGTGTTAGTGTGTTAGGAAGTGGTGACATGTGGTGTTAGGACGCAATACTGCTTCAGCTGCAGGCGACGTTGGATAAGTGGTGTTAGGACGCATTCCTGCTTCAGCTGCAGGCGGCGTTGGACAAGTGGTGTTAGGACGCAATCCTGCTTCAGCTGCAGGCGGCGCTGGATAAGTGGTGTTAGGACGCAATTCTGCTTCAGCTGCAGGCGACGTTGGATAAGTGGTGTTAGTGTGTTAGGAAATGGTGACAAGTGGTGTTAGGACGCAATCCTGCTTCAGCTGCAGGCGACGTTGGACAAGTGGGTTAGCGGGGGCCACGATCCTGTGTGAGCTGCAGGCGGCGTTGGATAGGTGGTATCAGTGGGCAGAGTTCACATTGTAACATACACCAGCAGTACCACTGGAATCAGATGGTACGGGAAATAAACCATGAATGTAGAAATTTCGATAGGAATTTGTGATAGCTGCTTTCACATTAATCTGACGGTTGTATTTTTTTTTGATAATGAACATTTACAGCCAGCGTACAATGGCAGCAAGGCAACACGCATCAAAACAAACATATACTTGCCATGTGTGATGTAACTGTGAAGTGTGCGATTTGTAAGTGAGATCTTACCCTGCCTGTGGTTGTTTGTGGTGATCTTGCTAAACGCAGTGAAGAGGGTCAGTTCTTTAGAACAGTGACACATGAGCAGTGAGTGAGGTGTAATATCGGGATGGAAGTACCTTGTATTTGCCCTCCTGCATGGATACAGATGCTACGGTGGAAAGATCCTCCACTAGAACGTCAGACAGAAACTCATCCAGGACGTCCACTTGGAATGCCTTCTTGTGCAGCCAGTGATCCAGCCGTTTACGAGCCTTCTTCTCCTGATGCAGAAGCCAGGCGTACATTTTAATGGGGTAAATTTCGGGGACAGGGTAAGGCATTTACAGCGGGTCTTCTGAAGGGACAAAAGGACGACACTTTTATCTCGCCTTCTTCCATGCAACGACGTGGAGCTCATGTTCAATTCTTCCAAAGTTAGATGGGGGCCTTCCGCGCTTCCCACTTCCGCGGCCTGCTACAATATAGCTCTTTCAGGCTGATTGCCTTTATGTGTAGCATTCCTCGTAATACACGTTTTCTGTAGGCCAGAGTGAGCACATTTATTTGATTCAAAACTTATAAAACATCTGAGCGCATGGTCACGAAAGCGCAACCCGATCAGAAAAGGGCTCTGTAAGTACATAACAACTGAATAAATGCATATGAAATTCCCACTGTGTTCATCCCGCGCCTGGTGTGCTGTTTTTGAATCTTGAAGAAGAAACATGGATACATGCTTTCGAAAGCATCCTAACTGCCAAGGAAGCAACGATTCGTTGCACACAGGGAGGGCAGAGCAACGGGAGACCACACGGTTTCCAAGGCAGTCTGGTTGTGCCAAAATACTCGGATGCTGGGAGTGCGACACTGGGCTAACGTGCCAGGGTTAGCCGCAGATCCTCCGCCCAAGCACGGCATCCAGCGCGTACCTCGAGACTCTCCCACGGCTTCTCTGCCGGCCTAGGTAGGCTGGCTGTCGCCGTGATGAAGTACGGCATGGGGTGTTCCTCATCCTCGTCCAGCTTCGGCAGGTACTCGGTCTGGCCCGACCTGCAGGCAAAGCTGGCTGGTCAGTCCTCCTGGAAGAGGCTTGCCTAGTGTGGATGTGCTAGGCGTCCTAGTACAGTACTGAATCGGTGGTCTTCGCAGAGGATGCAGGGCACGCCCCCAGGGAACGAGGGACGTGATTGAGCTGAGGCAGTCATCGACCGAAGACACTCCGTCCGAATTAAAAATCGGAACACACATGACCATGCCCAAGCAGGCCTTCGGGTATACATGAGGCGGGTCCCGTTATCTTGTAGGCCTCGTCCCATTACAGCTGACAACTGTGATACCTACCCGCCGTAAAGAGACGACTGCGACATGGTCTTCTTACTGTTCTCCTCGCGCAGCTTCTCCTTGTCCAGCGGGTCGAGCTTGGCCGACTTGGGATTCTTCTTCAGCACCATCCTGCTGATCTGGTGGAGTCAAGGCCTCCGAATCCGTACCCTTCACCTGCACCGACGGGCCACGAGATGTGCAGTCGACTCACTCAATGGACAGTTTCGGGAGACGCGCAGTCGACTATCTCAGTAGGCAGTCTCGGAGACACGCAGTCGACTCACTCAGTAGACAGTCTCGAAGACGTGCAGTCGACTCACGCCAGCCACTGAGCCCTTCTCGACAGACGCTGCGCGGGCCTTCTCTTGGACGGAGGAGACCGCGAGCTGCTCAGGCGCCCGCCTGCCGTCGCGGGGCGTCTCGACAGAGCTAACGCCACGGAGCGGTGGGCTCCAGGTGGGACACGGCTCGTCCGTCACGCACCAGGTTACACGTCACAGACAGCCACGGCGCCGCGATGGCGGCAGCGCCGCCGTGCTGGGTCACGTGACGCCGGTCAGGTGGGGTCCGAGGCGCCGGCTGGACCGGCTCCGGCGCCGCCGGGGCGGGTCGATACAACGGCCGGGTTGCCCGGGAATAGAGGCGGGTCGCTAGCGACGCGGAGGCGAGGAGCCAACGACCGCTGGAGGCCGCTTCCAGGGAGCGCCACGCAGCGTACGAGCGCCGAGCGTGACCTTCCGGCCCTGGGACGCCGCACGGACGTGCGTCACAGGGCCATTCAGCCGATGTGGAGTGCGGTGCGGGAGCTCCTGGTATGCGCTGTTCCTCGGGGGCTTGCGCTTCTACGCTTCTGCATGACCACTTCCGTCTAGCCTCTAAAGCATATCGTATGATTATTATTGTTGGAGTCCTTCCTGAGTACTTGAGTTCTCTGCCCTCCCCCCCCCCCTCACCTCCATTTCAATCATTTTAGAAAAGTATTGTCCCTGTCACTTGTCATCGCCAAGTTTCCTCAGCATGCTGGCTTAGTTCTCGTGGAGTTCTGAACGATTGGCACCCACTTGCTTAAAATGAGGTCATATTGAAGTGGTGCTCAGACATTTCCACAAAACTATGTGTAGGCAAGTTTTGCATGCCGCTGAAAAGTGCAACATCAGTCGCCGAGTCCTAAATTGTCCCCAAGCCATCAGCTTGCTCAACAACGCCGGAGCGTGCCCCAAGGCCACTGAAAGAGCATGCGAGCAGGCGATCTCACCACGAGCGAGCCGCGAATGGCATGGGCGCTGCTTGAACAGCGAGAAGCCAGCCACCGCGAGCCGCGAGCGGCCCGGTTCGTGCCGGCTATCTCGCCCTCTGGAATTTCATATCTCTACACCCCGGAACGCAGGCTTCTCAGTTCGGCTAACACGGGAGACGAGCGTGCACATTGCTGATCGCGAAGGAGCTGCGCGGCGCGGGCCGAAGCCGGACCCGACCTCGACAATACGTCGTCGTGGTGACGGGCAGCCAGCACCGTTCGACGGGCGAGAGAGCGGGCGACGCAGTGAACCCTTGCGGGCTCGAGTGTACAGCCGGTCGCGCGCGCCCGAGCTTAAACCGCAGTGTTACCCTCACTGAGCGGTTTTAAAGGGAATGTTCCCCGCGGTGCCCGCCCTTCCTGCCAGGGTGAGAGGCAGGCGACGCCATATAGCCTCAGCAGCTGAGTGCGTCGTAAAGCCCCAAACACACACACACACAAAGGGAGTGTTCCACATTTAAAGATATTGAAGCAAGCATGAGATATGATGAAACAAGCTCACGTATAAATATTGGTACGCTTTTTACCGGAAAACAGCACAAATAATCTAGACGGCACAATTCTGTTTATCAAATATGCTCCCAAATGCGTCATGATTTGATTACGTCATCGTTCTTCGCAAAACATTTGTTGAGAGCCGATTGACGGCCGTTATATCTGGAAATCGCGTTCACGAACGCCAGATATGAACGTCTCGACAACCATATATTCTTAGCCTTGTTCACCCAATAGCTTGTGAAATGACAGGGTTTGAATGACATGATCATTACGTCATGAATACAAAGCTTACTTTTTATTTTCACCGACGTTTAGCTCAGAAACTAGAGGGGCCTAAAGTTTTAAGAAAGGCAGGATTGTGAACAGCGCCGAAAGGTCTTCAAGGTGGCTATTTCAGTTGAAAACCCCATGTAAGCGTGGAACACTCCCTTTAAGAATTTCCAGATCGCGAAAACCGGAGCAGATGAAGATGTGACACTAACTGCACGTTTTAATGAAATGCGCCGTCTACAAATAACAGCCACATCTCTTCACTGCTCGTCCCTTAGCTGCTTAGTAATGTATCGGGAGTCGGTCGCTGTCATATTTTTTAAAAAATCTATTGCAAATGTAAGCCGATGTGTCCTGAACCGAGAACGATTGGACTGTACTTGTACGTACCTACTCACTGTGATCACTATCGGCCCAAATATCGATATTTCTTGCGACAGTTTGGTCTCTGGCACCGATATTGACAACCGTCGGAAGTTAGTTTGTATTGTCAATTGAAATTATCACGTCTGGTCACACCCACAGCCAGCCAATATGCGATCAATATAAGTTGCGAGCCATCGCGGGTGATGCATCAGTGAACCTCTATCTATATATACGGTATATCAGGGCGCCTCTGTATGCTCATATCTACAGTACATCAGGGGGCACTTCATCCGGATGTCATTTCAAGCTGATGATGTGGCCAATCAAGGAGAACATTCAGGTTATTCGTGCGACGTTTACATCAGTCTCCAAGGTTGTGGTACTCCGTTAGCAAAGGTTTTGAAGTGATTTATATCACAGGAGCTGCTAGCTGTCGCGTCTGTATAGCCTCGCTTTCCCCAAAACACATCTGGCCTTTACTGATGCGCGTTGTACCATTGCTTTATTTGATACTTCCTGATGCAAGAGCATGCGTCACCTTTCGCGCATCATGGAAAATGGCCAGAATATCGCGTGCTCTATACCCGTCCGATGTAACCCTAACCAACGTCTGGGTTGGCCGCGGAGGATGGCTGGACTCAGGGGCGTACACAGGGCTTCACAACAGGAGGGTGCAACTAAAAAGTTTGCTAAAAGCCTAGTTTAATGCAACGCAAGAACGCGCAATCTATTGTGTGTCGTCCGATCTTTTTTAACGCGTCTATAAGGAATTTTTGACTGACAGCATGGAAACATTTGGTAAATGGCGAGGGAACGCCCCAAGGCTCACTACGAGCGTACGTCCCCGTGGATGTCTGGTACTGTACAGGGCAGACTGGCAAATTACGACCATTACACTCACGCTTCTAGTACACGTAAAATGCACGTCACCCCAAAACAGCATTTTGTTTCCGTGCGTGCAAATGTGTTTTGCCCTTTTGGGGCCTTGGCTCGATTATACTTGAACTAAGGCCAATGCCAGGTTCACACCCAGCGGCGTTTTCACATAGTGGCCAACGCGGAATGTCCTCCCCAAATTCGAACTTATAGTATGTGTTAATATATGCTTGAGTAGATATGATGGTTAGAAATTCCAGACAGATGCATGAGTATAGAAGATTAAGAGCATGCAACGTTAACGATGCGCAAGAAATTTTGCGCACCTGCGGTGCACTGAACTGGATTTTAGTGAAGATTTCCCGGGCTGCGCCCTCCTCCGCCGTGAAATCCTGCATACTTTCTTGCTGAAACGACCCGAAAATTTATGTATATATTTTATAACTAAAAAAGGTTGTCCGTCTTTTGAAAACGTTCTGTGCTCCCCCCCCCCCCCCCTCACCACACACTTTGCATGGCTTGCCTCTGGCTGGACCGCCTTTGGCAGGAATTCTCCAAGTTCTCCATATCAACATCCCATGCTGATTTTCAATTTAGCATTTCCGGTCAAATGTATCACAATTGTGTCACCGCCAATGATAACAGACACAATGTCATCTTGCAACAGTACACTGATGTTCGTCACGAACGACAGTCGTACATGCACGTTCAGTGTCCGCACATACGTACATACCACCGTGCCCTTGGGAGCGTGCCGGCCCGCCTGTCTCGGGCTGGTACCGACTGGCACGCGAGGCGTTCGCCACCGCGTTCGACTGACCCGACACCGACCCAGGATTCGGCCAAGGACGGACGACATGGTCAGAAGCGGTCCGATCTGACACGGCCGAGGGCTCAGCCCGTGGAGGAATACAAACCCAGGTGTGCAGACCCGATCTGCAATCGTCAAATGAGGCAGATGAAAGTGTGACGTCATCTCGAAGCACGATCCCGGGTGGTGGAGCCTGCGCGTCGCAGGCCCTCCTGCATGGTGAAAAAATGGCCGAATGCCGCTATTTTCATTATCTGTGCCTCGATCATATTTGTGATGCGTGTTATGCTGTGCTTTTTTAATAGAATACGCGACACCCCGCCTTTTCTGTTTGTGTGCGACTTTACCTCGCCCTGCATTATCCAGTACCGACAATGAGTTCCGACCCATGCGTGCGACTTTACCTCGCCCTGCATTATCCAGTACCGACAATGAGTTCCGACCCATGCGTGCGACTGACTTTACCTCGCGCTGTATTACCCAGTGCCGACGATGGCTCCGACCCCTGCGTGCGACGTAACCCCGCGCTGCATTACAAAGTGCCGGCAATCAGCTCCGACCTCTGCCAAGTCGACTAATGCATAAGTAAGGACACGGCAGCGCTCCGAACCTGGCGTTGGCTCCCGTAACGACGGGCGCAGGTGGACCGCTTGGCAAACACCGGCTGCCTTCACCACTGCACGCCCGTTCAGTCCTGCCGCTCTTCCCGCCTCCGCGCGGACCTTCTAGCCGCAAAGCTGCACCTCTGCCCGCGATCGGGCCGTGCTGCAGAATCGCCTGCCCGCCGCTTTGCTGCCGACGTGGGCCCGAGCGCGATGCAGTTTGCATCTCCAGCGTGGGTGCAGCGGCACAGAACGGGCAGGCGAGCCGGCCCGGGCCATCGATTGAGCTGGCTCCCCGTGACGTCACGGTCCGGATTTCCCAGAACGATAGTGGTGAGCGGTCGGAGCGGAACGAGTCGGCTGCTCGGCACTAGCCGTACCCTCAGTGCACCCTTTGCTCGCTCAAGGGGTGACGTGCCGTTCCCTATTTTTTTTAAAACTTTCTCCCGCTAGCGCTCGCTTTGCCGGACGGAGCCGCAGCAGCGTCAGCGACGGCGTCGCTCCCGGCCGATCCGGCCGCCGTTCCGGCCGGCAGCGTTCTCCCGCCACTAGCGCGCCAGTTTTGGCGCCAGCCGTCCGTCGTCTGACGTGACGTCACACATCGGCTTGGATAGCGGGCTGTGGCGGTGTGTGGTGCGGAGGTGCGGTGTGCGGTGCGTGCTCCCGCCGCATTCTGGCGAGGGTCAGGGACGGCACGAGCCCAGGACCGCAGGAGCGGTACATGAGTGTCCCCGACCAGTGTGAGTACACCGGGGCGGATGGTTTGCCACGGCGTTGGCGTGGCCGTGCTGCCTGCGACGTTTGGGCGCGCCGCATTGCGCCCCGTTTGGCTGACGGCAGTGGGTGGTACCACTGCGCTGCGGTACCGTTACAGACAATGGCCACTGATCCTCAGCTGGCCGTGGCGCGTTAGCGTGGCGCGCTCAGCGACAGCTGAAGGCTTGAAAGCTGCGATACGGGGAGCTACCCGTTGCAGGTTTGGTTGTTGGGCCGTCTGGAGCAAAGTGGGCGGTTTACTGCGCCATGATCGTAGAAGTGACCATTTGCATTCACAATTACGTGCCGTTTTTCGGGGAGCTGTTCAAGCCATTTACTACACAATGCCGTTGCCGGCTTTGACAAACCGCATGAGATGCTTCGCACCAGACATACCCGTGTAACAAATCGTAGACATCGTGCCAAGCACGACAGCTGCTGTAGGTTGTCTCAATACGTGTCAGGTTTAAACAATTGCCAACGATTAGCATAAGGCATTCTTCAAATTTCCGCAATGAGATACACGGCAATACGTTGAGTCAAGCACATCGCTCCGGCTTAGACGATTGTCTGTTTTCATCGCGGTCAGGAAGTCTCCGGTATCGCCCACATTCGCTTGTATAAGTGCCACCACCACTTAACTGGTCAGTGTCACCAGGATTTATTCAACAGCAGTTTTATTGATTCAAACAGCACTGGTTTCTGGTGCGGCCGCGCGCAGTGTAGAGGCGGAAGCCTGGGGGGGGGGGGAGGGGACGGGCGCGAGGTCATGGGGGCGTTGGCCGAGGGACCACTGAGTACTGGCAGTTACTGTGGTGTGATCATGGGCGGGAAGTGCTGTGTGGCTGGTGTGGCGATGGCCGCATCTGCTTTATCAAAAGAGGCTTATTTTCACATCTGGCTAATGGAGGAAGTTCGTTCCAGTCGCTTGACTTCACCAGTCCTATCGACAATGTCCTCGCCTACCCTGTCAACAAGGCCACGGCGCGGGCGCGAGCATGAGTGTCTGGCTTCGGTAGCACTCAGGTCCTCGTGTCGGCCCTGCTGCGCAGTCTGCCGTCCAGGGCCGGTCGGTGATGGCTGTCCGGACAGCGGACCTGTTCCGGTCATAATGGTGGACAGTGAAGCCCCAATTTCGGGCGAATTCTTGCGTTCGATCAGCCAGAGGCATTGACCTGAGCGTCTTCGACATGTGATTAGCCCTCGCCTAACGCTGAAGAACTTGATACGCGCTGTGTGGAAGACTCTATCCCAGGCGCCGGTTCCTCACTCCGTGGAGATCGCGCCTGACAGGACCAACAAATCTCTTTCTGGGCACGTGGGCCCATCTGTGACTGGTTTTTGGGTGCAGCCGGTGTATTGATTTCAATGCGTCGCAACTGATCCAGAGCAGCCGCGCGACAGCTTCCAAGCCCGTCAGCCAGATATGTGGCAGCAAACAAACATTCGAGTGTACGAGCAGAAGGGGGATAGGACCAGACCAGACCCACAAGATATAGTTGACAAAGCACTCAATCGGCAAGAGCAGGCCGACCTCGGATGAACTGGGCTGCAGTTGCGCTGTGCAACTCACACGCCTGGTTAACGTTTGCAATCAACTGTGTGTGTGGTGGGGGGGGGGGGGGGAGGGCAACTTTCGCGTTGTCAGCTGCGTCATCATGGACTTGCGTTTTCTCCGAATTAGACACACGTGAAGTGACAGTAAAATATGCTCTCAGTGTCAGCACCAAGCTATCCCTGGGTTGCCTGGAAGTGATCTGTGCAGTAACATGTGCATAGCAGTGACTGCCTAAATTGGGAGATTCAAAGTATATACGCTGCCAGCTTAGCCAAAAGCACCCGTGGCGTGTCCGTCGTCTCCGTCTGCGCGGCGCCTGTGCCGCCGCCGTGCCCCCTGGCAGGCAGAGCTGGCCGCTTCGACCGTGCGGCCGTCGCACTGAACACGCCGCAGATGCTGGCGGGCACAGATGCACGCTGTACAGGTGCGGGCCTGCCGCCCGTGTCGGCGGCGCGCGGCACCGGGGCGATGCACGCTGCCAGCGGCTGTCACCGCGAGTCGCTGTGCAGCAGGACTGAGGCGGGGCCTGCGAACGGACACGCTGGTCTTGTCTCCAGCCCTGGCGGATGAGGAAAAGTGCCAGGAAAACCCGCCGTATGTTGCCGCGCGGGGGGTCAGATGGCTTGAGATTGCCGGCCGTCCAGACTTCCGCGTTTAAAATGTGCGCTCGATATAATCAACACGCCTTATTATGTAACCATACGCCTGCATTTGTACCCTACGCAAAGCTTTGTTGTGCAATTTGGAGGCATGTTGGGCAACTGCTCACGGGAAGTTCTCGCGGCAACCTTTACACCAGTGTTGTGCCTAGTCCGTAACGCTCGAGAAGCGCATTCCACGTCCTTGCGAGATGCTCGCGTACATGCTGTTCCGGCTCAAACTACTTTTCCGAAAGCCATGGCCATTTTTCCGGGTCATTTTTTCATGCGTGTGCCGTGGAGCTGGACAGATGTGCAAATGTACGTTTCCAGGTGTAGGTTTTTATCCCTGATTTGCGAGAAGATGACACACTGCCATGAGCGCCATTTTATTGTTTTAAGGTTATGCACATGCCCTCCAAACACTTCACGAAATTGGCGTTCGGTGCGTGGTGTTGCATGGCACAAAGGGACTCATAAAATCAATTTGCACCTCCCATCATTGGCTGCGAATCTCAACCCATGCCCGCAGCTGAGCTCCTCTTTCCCGGAATTGGACTTCTGTATTGGCCGTGGAATAGCATGCGACATGGGGTTAGTCGCTTCTGTAGCTCAGTTGGTGGAGCGGTTGTCCGCCACCAGCGTGTGGGGCAATCTTCAGGCATGTTCACAGGCCGGATCCGTGTAAAAGGCAATGGGATGCCGCATTCGGATTCAGCAGGGCAAACTTGCTGCCAATTGAGGGCTGTCGCCTGTACGCGCGCCACGTGTGGGCCCGAGGCTCCACATCATGATCAGGTACATCGTTAGGCGCACCCGACCCCTGCGGTCACGAAGTTGCCCGCATTGAAATCGCTGCACTGCGTCAGTCCTTCGCTCACTCAGGCCGATACGCAGAACAATGACATCAATGGGCCGTGAAAATCGATGCCGTCCGAAGGCCCCGTCTCCGTTCAAGCAGGATATGTCAAAAAGGTAGCGATGCACTACCAAACGGGTGCAGTGGTGACTTCGCCTGCTTACTCAGCAGCGGTAGCCTGAAGTTCCCTGGTCGACCTGTGGTGGCTTCCTTTCGTGACCTGGTGCATCGGCAGTGTATGTTGACCTAACATGGTTTATAAGCAGTGATGATTTGCGTTGACCCAGTCCGGAGCGTGCCCCGGAGGCGGCCTGCCTGCCTGACCACTGCGACGGCGTGGAGTGGAGAATCATCACCACCTGGGGTTCGGCGACGTCTGCCACCATATTGGCTCGTGGGGCTGATGGTCGTATGAGCGCATCTGTCCAGGACAATCCGAATACTGGCATGGGCCACCCTCAGAGACGTAACCAACGGGAGGGCAAGGACGCCGGATTAATTTGGTTCAAATTCGCAGGATTTCGAGCCGATTTACATTGCCCTCCCCTGAGGATAATTTTAGCAACGTGTCTGGCAATTCTAACCAGTGGTGTGATGTGACCAAAGAGTGACTTGGACATCAACAGTTCTCGCATGGCATATATCAGTGTCTCTCGAACGACATATGTCAGTGTCAAGGTCGCGCCTGCATTAACAACTTGTACATCAACAGTTCTCGAACGACATATGTCAGTGTCGCTCTGTATTAACAACTTGTCGCGACACGACATACAGGCGCGACAAGGTCGCGCCTGTATTAACAACTTGTACATCAACAGTTCTCGAACGACATATGTCAGTGCTAAGGTCGCGCCTTTATTAACAACTTGTACATCAACAGTTCTCGAACGGCATATGTCAGTGCCAGGGTCGCGCATGTGTACAACTTGTACATCAACAGTTCTCGAACGACATATGTCAGTGTCAGGGTCGCGCATGTATTAACACAGTGCACCATCTGATGCCGCTGTATGCCTCGCATCTGTGTACGCACTAATGTGCATCGCACACTCGGGAATGTTGCAATTTTTCTCACGACAAATTCACATTTAGGATGGTTCAGGCTTACCGTAAGCCTTAGATTTCCCTCGAGGTCCTAAGATCACCGTCTTAAGTGTAAGTGAGCGCAGGCACCTTTGGACTTTGAGCGGTGTTAGGTATTGCGTAGTGTGCCGCGTATCGTGTCCTGGGATGGTGTGGTGGAAGTTCACCGACCTCTCGGACCCTGCCCGAGCCTGATCAGTCTGCTGCCCGTAGACTCCTGCATAACTGATGTCTCGCAAACTCGTTGGAGCACTTTTATTTGCATTCATTGTATTCATGTATTCCTGTCACATCGTGCACCGGTAGAAGGATTATGCTAAACTCGCAGTCCGTTGAGCTTGCAGAGCGTCCGCTGTGAACTCTCCACATCATACCCTGCAGCTCGTGTCTAGTAAGACGATGCTGCTCTGCCATCTTAAGTTTAAGCTGGCATGATTGTAATGTCCTGGGTGGGCGGAGTCGTTGGCATGAAAGTTGAGGGCTAGCCAGGCTGTCGTCAGTTATGCCGGTATTTGTTTTCTTCGAGCCCCGGGAATTCACAGCTGCTCGGACAAAGACGAAGCTCGTTGGCGTTCCTCTCCTGCTGTCCGCTTTGTTCAGTTCCACGAGTTCCACGAATCCCTCCGAAGCCTCCATTGTCATGCCCGAAAACCCGCCCGGTTGCCGCCTCTGCTTTCCTTTCTGCTGTTCCCAGAAACACTCCGCCAAAGGAATCCGCGAATCTTGCGCTCGGGCGTCCCCGTCTGGCCGCTCGTAAAGCATTTCCGTCCAACTGCGCAGCAGCGTTCTGCCAAGACGGCTGCTGCGCCAGCGCCGACCGGGGTCGGCGCCGCCCGCGCCGCCTCGAGATCCGAGCGCCGGTCGCTGCTGGCCGCCGGCGCCGCCGTACGCCGGCGGTCAGCCCGCCGCCGCGGCGCCGCCCGCACCGGCGCACGGCTCTCAGGGGCAACCACATCCGGCCAGGCGAGCCAACCCGCCGTGACGGACACGGGGCGCACCGAGGCCACGGCGGCCGCTGCGCCGGGGGCGGACCGGTGCTCAGCTGTGCCGCGCGCTGGCCGGCCGTCCCACCTGCTGACGTAACACCTGCCACCGGCGGGGGGAGGGGCAGTCACGCGTCGGCACACGTGTTCAAGCAGCGGCGGTGAGCGCGCCGCCGCTGCGGAGGGCGCGCGACTTGCGGTGGGTAAGGGAGCACCGGAGCGCGAGTGCTGTGCCCGTGGTAGGGCGCCCGGGTGTGGCTGAGGAGGGTGCTGCAACCGTGGCAGGGCGCGCGGGTGTGGCTGAGGAGGGTGCTGCAACCGTGGCAGGGCGCCCGGGTGTGGCCGAGGAAGGGGCTGCGTCCGTGGTAGGGCGCGCGGGTGTGGCTGAGGAGGGTGCTGCAACCGTGGCAGGGCGCGCGGGTGTGGCCGAGGAGGGTGCTGCAACCGTGGCAGGGCGCGCGGGTGTGGCCGAGGAGGGTGCTGCAACCGTGGCAGGGCGCGCGGGTGTGGCCGAGGAGGGTGCTGCAACCGTGGCAGGGCGCGCGGGTGTGGCCGAGGAGGGTGCTGCAACCGTGGCAGGGCGCGCGGGTGTGGCCGAGGAGGGTGCTGCGACCGTGGTAGGGCGCGCGGGTGTGGCTGAGGAGGGTGCTGCAACCGTGGCAGGGCGCGCGGGTGTGGCCGAGGAGGGTGCTGCGACCGTGGCAGGGCGCGCGGGTGTGGTCGAGGAGGGTGCTGCGCTGGAGTTAGAACGCACCGGTGGGGCCGTTAGGGGTGCGCCCGTGGCAGAGGGCGCGCGTGTATCTCAGGAGGGTGGTGCGCTGGGGGCAGGGCGCGCGGGTGTGTTTGAGAGGGGTGCTGCGCTGGTGGTAATACGCGCGAATGTGGCCTAGGAGGGTGTTGCTCTGGCGGCAGGGCGCGCGGGCGTAGCCGAGGAGGATGTTGCGCTGGCGGCAGGGCGCGCGGGTGTGGCCGAGGAGGGGGCTGCACTGGCGGCAGGGCATGAGTGTATGGCCAAGGGAGTGCTGCGCTGGTGGCCGTGGACGCGCGGACGTGGCCGAGGAGGATGTTGCGCTGGCGGCAGGGCGCGTGGGTGTGGCCGGTGTTGACACGCTGCGTTGGTGGCGGGGTGAGTTGGTGCGGCGGTGACGGGTGCTGCGCTGGTGGCGGGGCGGGTGGGCGTGGCTGCGAGGGGCGCCGAGTGCTGCCAGCAGTCTCACTGCTTCAGGGCAGATTGACTGATTGTTCTCATTTGAGTTTGGCTGCGAGTCCAGGGTCTACTGGGTGGAAAGCCGTGCGTCAACACACCTGTGGTCTCGAGTGCTTGATAAGGATGGGCTTGGTATGCTGCCGGCCCAGACAGTTCGCCGCCGCCGTGGCTGATAACACCGCACGATATCGTTGGTCACATCCTCTTTTTTACTGCCTGGCTTTGCTGGCCGTATGTCGATGTCACGATCGGAATGAATTGTTTGGCGCTAACTGATGTCAGAACGTTGGGTCGACCTTAAGGTCAGCGTGACAGCTGTGAGCGACAGTGACTGCTTGCCGTTTCAGTCGTAATCCCACGAAGCCTTTCAATAGCACAGACATTCCATGACGCATCGCAAATAATGTTACAGCACAGCAGCCTGGCGAGTTACATTTCCATGTCCTCAAATCATGTGCAGTGGCGTATCCCTGAAGCCGTTCCCAGCGGCACGTCCCCCTCCCTTAGGGAATTTGTTACACGTATTCTTTGTTGTGTGTGCAAATATTGACTACTGCGAAAACGAGATAGACACAAGAATAAATATACCAACAGCATGCGGTGTTTGACGGCGTGTAACAAATTCTGCTTAACTGCGGTGCGCCATACTGGGGTTTCGGTGACAAATTTTTAGTTGTTCCCTCCGTAGCGAAATCCTGAATACGCTCCCCCCCCCCCCCCCCCAGCGGCTATATCCTTCTCAGGAACCCACCACCACCACATGGTGACACCGCTGGTGAACCATTGCGCCACAAACTAACCGATTAGTTTCCGTGAAAGTATATTGGGAGGCCTTGGACATTGTCCAGATCCGGTTCCAGCAGCTTTACCGACCGTCACGAGAGTGAGCAGGCTGTAAATGCTGTCGCCCGCAGCGACGGCGGTCCGCGGGCGCGGCGGCGGGTCCGCTGCCCGCGGAGACGGAGCTGGTCCGCGGGCGCGGCGGGGGGTCCGCTGCCCGCGGAGGCGGAGCTGGTCCGCGGGCGCGGCGGCGGGGTCCGCTGCCCGCGGAGGCGGAGCTGGTCCGCGGGCGCGGCGGCGGGGTCCGCTGCCCGCGGAGGCGGAGCTGGTCCGCGGGCGCGGCGTCGGGGTCCGCTGCCCGCGGAGGCGGAGCTGGTCCGCGGGCGCGGCGGCGGGGTCCGCTGCCCGCGGAGGCGGAGCTGGTCCGCGGGCGCGGCGGCGGGGTCCGCTGCCCGCGGAGACGGAGCTGGTCCGCGGTGTGGTGGTGTGGTAGCAGCGCTCATGTATCCGCTGGCGGGCACGTGCCACGGGCCCCTCTTCCTGACCCCACATAGCAGCGGCGGGGTCCGCTGCCCGCGGAGACGGAGCTGGTCCGCGGTGTGGTGGTACGGTAGCAGTGCTCATGCATCCGCTGGCGTGGCGCGTGGCCACGGGCCCCTCTTCCTGACCCCACATAGCAGCGTCGGGGAACGCTGACATTTGCAGTTGACCTAAAGCATGACCCCGCGGCTAGACTGGCCTGCAGCATGGTCCGCCGGCTAGACAGCCAGCCCGTTATTGTGGCCCCGATGACCTGGTAACACCTGGCAACATTTGATAGCGTCAGTCAGTGGGCTGAAGGGCGCTTGACGCTTGACACTTGACACAGGAAAAACGCGCAGGTGTTGTTCACTCTTTTTCCTCGCGGCGTTATGGGACGCGGTCCCGCTGGTTCTGTTGTGAGGTGTGTACCTGTGACGCGGAGCGCGACCCTCGCCGTTACGCCGCGTGACACGAGGCATGCCATCGAGACGCAGAGCGGCTGACGACGCACTACGTGACGGCTGCGACACGGGCGGGCTCGGGTGCGTGCTGTGTGTGACGCGTCGCCACGGGGCGCGGGCCGCGCGGTGTTCGTCGCCTGCGCGCTGGCGCGCCTCGTGCCGCGTCTGACGGCTGTCTTCTCTGCCGGCAGGTCTGGCGCGCTCTGCCGCCGACACCATGCAGCCGGGCGTGCTGCAGCTGGAGAAGGAGCTGCTGCAGCTGACGCTGAGCTCGCCGGCCAGCCTGTCGCCGCCGGGCGGCCCGCTGGAGCCGGCCTCCGACCCGGAGACGTCGCCAGACCAGGCCGCCATGCAGGTGGGCTACCGCGAAGGGCGCGCGCCGCAGGCCGGCCTCATGGAGGGCATCTTCGGCTGCCTGCGGCCCGTCTGGACCATCATCAGCGCCAAGAAGGCCATGGCGCCGCCCGAGAACTGGGAGGTGCCGTTCGAAACCATCAGCGACCTGCAGTGGCTGGGCTCGGGCGCACAGGGTGCCGTGTTCCGCGGCAGCCTGCGCGGTGAGACGGTGGCCGTGAAGAAGGTGCGCGAGTGCAAGGAAACGGACATCCGGCACCTGCGCCGTCTCAACCACCCCAACATCGTGCAGTTCAAGGGCGTGTCGACCCAGGCGCCCTGCTTCTGCATCATCATGGAGTACTGTCCGTACGGCTCACTTTACGACCACCTCAAGGACGGCAAGGAGATCGCGCCCAAGCGGCTCATGGACTGGACCAAGCAGATCGCAACGGCCATGAGCTACCTCCATCAGCACAAGATCATCCACCGCGACCTCAAGAGCCCCAACATCCTGATCGGCAACAGCGAGAGCATCAAGATCAGCGACTTCGGCACCAGCCGCGAGTGGAACAACATGAGCACGCGCATGTCGTTCGCCGGCACCGTGGCCTGGATGGCGCCCGAGGTCATCCGCAACGAGCCCTGCTCGGAGAAGGTGGACGTCTGGTCGTTCGGCGTCGTGCTCTGGGAGCTGCTGACCTGCGAGATGCCGTACAGCGACGTCGACTCGAGCGCCATCATCTGGGGCGTGGGCAGCAACTCGCTGCACCTGCCCATTCCGCAGACCTGCCCAGACGGCTTCAAGCTGTTGGTCAAGCAGTGCCTCAGCGCCAAGCCGCGCAAACCGGCCCTCCTTCCGCCACATCCTCATGCACCTCGACATCGCCGCGCTCGAGGTGCTCACCATACCCTGCGACGCCTACTTCCGCACTCAGGCGGTGTGGCGACGCGAGGTCAAGGCGCACATGGAGCGCGTGCGCACCGAGCGCGCCAGCATCCAGCAGGGCGGCGAGGAGCTCGTGCGCAAGCGGCGCGAGGAGCTCAAGCACGCGCAGGACATCCGGCAGCACTACGAACGCAAGCTGGAGCGCGCCAACAACCTCTACCTGGAGCTCAGCACGTGCCTGCTGCAGCTGGAGCAGCAGCAGCGCGACATGAACACGATGGCGGCGGCGCGCGCGCGCAGCCCGGCAGCGCTCTCGCTGGAGGCGGGCACGAGCCGGCGGGCGGCGCTGGCGCGCAGTCCCGAGCCGTTCCTGCGCTCGCCGCACCGCCAGCTGGCGGAGAGCAGCACGCAGACCCCACCGACCGAGCGGCCGGAGCGGCGGCCGCTGACGCTGGCGCTGCAGGACGCGGCTCACCGAGAACGGCAACGCCACGACGACCACCACCACCGTGCCGGGCGGCCGGCTGCCCGATGAGACCAACCACAACTGGCAGCCAGCCGCCGGCAGCAGCGGCCACCTGTACGCGACCGAGGCCGGCAACGGCAACGTGGCGGATGCGCTGGCGCCGCGCCGCTGCCTGCTGTTTGACGACAGCGACAACGACGCGTGCCTGGTGCAGGAGGCGGCCGGGCGGCGCTCGCTCGTGCGCGTGCACTACGCGCGCCACCTGAGCAGCTCGGGTGAGTCCGACTGCGACGTGCACACGGCGCCGCTGCCGGCGCGGCGCCGCCAGCTGCGCAACGCGCTCATCTCGCGCCACTCCGAGTCGGAAGACGGCGAGGCGCCGGCGCTGCGGCGCAAGTGCGTGACGCGGCGGCCAGTAACGCGCACACGCGCCCGGCCGCCCTCGCTGCGCCTGCCGATGGAGGCGGCGGCCACGGCGACGGCCAAGCGACCGCTGAGCTCGGGGGACGAGCGCGAGCCCGAGGCGAGCTCGGAGGAGGGCAGCCGCGAGCTCAGCAGCGAGGAGACGCTCGGCTCCCGCCGCCAGCCCACCTCCGACAGCCTGTACTCGGACGGCGAGGCGGCCGACTCCCTCGCGATGCGCCCGAAGCTCCGGTAGCTGCCGCGCTCGCTCCGCGCCGCGCCGCATGGTTGTCTGCTCACCCGATCAGCCGGGCGCGTGCCGTGCGGGTAGCGGCCGCTCGGGCGCCCGCCGCGGTGTCACGGTCAGCTGCGCCGACTTCCAGACCCACTCAGTGACCTGTCGGGGATAGACCTCCGGCTGCCAGCGGGAGAAGCGCAGCTGGTGTGTACAGTCCTGCTACACGGCTCGGCCAAACCGGCCCTAGCCACGGCCCGTGTAAATACCCACGCCGGCTGGACGGCGTGCTCTGGTGCTCGGAGGGGATTCCCCGATCCCCGGAAAGCTCCCACCACCTCCGGTGCCAGGAGCTCTCGTGCGGGTTCCCTGCTCCTCACAGCTGAGGCGCCATCCCCGGGACCTGACGGCCGCGGGGACCGCTGCGCGAGTCCGGACGTCGGTCGACAGGCGCCCCGGGGGTGGCCGGCTGCGGGCAGTGCCGGCTGGCGCGCGGCCGCGTCTGGCGGCCGACGTCGACTCAGTGTGTCTCATAGGATGTCTAGGTTCATCAGACAGCGTCATTCGATGTCCATTGTCAGCGGCGGTGCCGCGATCCGCCGCCGCCGGCAGAATGCATGGACTCTGCAGCAAGCGTACGCGGTCTGACACGGGCGAGTTGTTATGGTTGTGAACTTTACATGCGTCATTCCATTTTACGTACTTAGGCAACGCGGTTCGTGAGTGTCAAATCCGGCCGGGTTTGTGTTGGGTGGCGCCTGGCAACAGTGATGGTCCTGTATCTCAGCCAAGTTTACGATCCCCGACAAGCTTTTTTGTTTTCCGTGCGTGGCGCGTGTCGGTTACCTAGGTTGTGTTTTGTACCTGTCGTGCAGCTCATAGCTCCCTTACCGCAGTCTGTCGCGGACGTCCAAACGCTCCCACTCGTGCGGGTGAGCGGCGTTTATCTGAGGGCGCGGTGGCCGGGGTGTCGGCTTCGCCCGGCGGAAAGCCGGGACAGGGCGCGGAGTGGTGTCTGTGCAATGCTCACGTGCAAGCGGGAGGCAGCCACGGCGGGTTTATCCGCCCTCATTGCAGCTCTCCTCGCAGCGCTGTATTTGGCGGCTCAGTGTCAAGCAGACATTCCACCATCACGGCAGGTTATACCAAACAACGCGTAGTGTTTTTCGTAGCAATAACGTCGCCGCTCCTGCATTCCGTGTCTCATGTTCATTGTTGACTGCAGCTAGGTACGTGACGGGCGATTAATATACGTGGGTGGAACAATGCGCTATGTTTTGGCGACGCGCCCGAAGTCTGCATCACGGACTGTAAGCAGCACAGCCGACGCAGCAGGCCACCGTCGGCCCGTCCAGTCAAATCGGCGGGGATGGAAGCCTGGGCCGGAGCCATTGCGGCCCGGTGAGCAGTGGCGGCCGCCTGCAGAGGCTGCGGACGTCCGCCCGCCGGGCGGGGAGACACGTGACGTGACCGCCCCTGAACAGAGTTCGGGGTATGACCCCACCCCCGCCCTGCCACGCCGCTCACGCTGTGGCAGAAGGCGCAGAACCCGTCGGCCATCAGGATCGCTGGCATGGCCACTGGTCCCTGGACACCAGCAGAAACGAAGCAAACGACGACGGTCGAGCCTGTGGCAAGCATTTTATGCAAAGGACGCCGGGTTGTACCGTCTCGACCCTGACTCCCAGAAATGCGCATTATGTTTTTTTTCCTTGTCAGCAGTAACTGTGATCCAGCAACAACTGTGACCCAGCAGCCTTCCTGCCAGCGCCTTTTCAGCAGCTATATCATGTTTCCATCGGCAGAACCCGGCGCAGGCCGCGACGCGTTTATCCTCCTGCAGCCTGTTGATGGAAGGCTGCTTGAACCCAAGTGTTATCAATCCGGCAAACAGCTGCGTCGTCCAATGAACCCGTTTCGGCGGATCAACGAACCGTCATTCCTTCACTTGTCCAGCTGTTTTACATATGCCCAGCAAGACGCCGTCTATCAAGATGGGGGCGCACCTTAGAACGACTACCGGAGAGGATGTCTGCGACGTTCGAAAGCACATCAGAGCTGCAAGTCATCTGGCTTTGTGCGCCCATCTGCGAGCCGCGGGGAGGCCCACAGCTCTGAGGCAACAAAGACGGCGGTCGGTGATGCCGCCGACCCCAACAGCTGGCCACGTCCCTGCAGCAGCAGACCGCAGGTGCCAGGGTACTGTGACAGGCAGCCGCGCCAACACCTGTCGTCAGCTCCCACTGGGCGCCACTGGCCCAACGGGATAGGTGGCGCTACCTGGGCTCCGCGTGGGGACAGTGGCGCCATCCCGGCGGGGACAGGCGGCGCCACAGGCCCCAGGCTGGCTCGGTCACGAGACCGCCCGCCGGTGGCGCCACCTCCCAGCAGCCGTCTAAAATTGACGGCGGGCTTGGTCAGCTGGGGTTTTCATATATGATCGACGCAATGATGCGCCGTGCGGTCAACTTGTCAATCTGATGGTATGCCATGCGGTCAACCGGCCAACTTCATGGTATGTCATGCGGTCGACCTGCCAACCTGATAGTATGTCATGCGGTCAACCTGCCAATCTAATGGTATGTCGTGCGGTCAACCTGCCAGTCTGATGGCATAACGTGTGGTCAACTATCCAACCTGATGGTATGTTGTGCAGCCAACCTGACGATCTGATGGTATGTAGCGGTCAACTTGTCAATCTAATGGCATGTCGTGCGGTCAGCCTGCCAATCTGATGGTATGTCGTGCGGTCAACCTGCCAGTCTGATGGTATGTTGTGCGGTCAACCTGTCAATTTGATGGCATGTGGCGTGGCCACTGCTTAGCCGTGTATGCCAAGGCAAAAGCCATTCGTAACAGAGGTACTGCCGCATCGTCTCGTCTTGTTGAGGCACGGCTGCACTCCCGCCGCACACCTCAATCCAGACCCCTGCGGTGCGCGTCACCATCCCCAACAATCCCGCCGGGTCACGGTCACCGCAGCCTAGTCCGGGCGACAGCACGAGCGCCATCCGCGCTGGCAGTTTTATTCGTACTGAAAAAATACGGTGGGGTACACAGGACTGCCGGCGGCGCGGCAGCGCGCGGCCGCCTCTAGACGGGACTAGGGGAACACGGCCGGGCGGCGGCACTCATCCCCGACAGGGCACGCGACTGCACTCGGTGGCGGTGGCGGTGGCGGTGGCGGCGGCGGTAGCGGCCGGCGTCACATCAGTTCGATGATCGACTCCCGGCACTTCCCGACACCGATCCACTTGACTGTCGGCGACAGAGGGGCGGGGTCAAGGGTCAGGCGGCAGACAGACGTCAGCAACACGACGGGGGTCAATGACGGGGCAAAGGTCAGTAGCGCAGCACGCACAGCTGGCGCTGTCGCTGCGACACCATGCAAATTTCGCGCGGAAGCCGAGTTATACTTACTCAAGCCAGCTCACAGGCTACCACCATAGCAGCCAGTTGGCGGTACAGCCACGTCGGTGCCGTCACACTAACGAGGCTTTCACTGGCACCGGCACAGCTCTGACCGCCACCTGAAGCAGCGAGCTCCGCACACAGCCGTCCTCGGCCTGAGCCAGAGCGGCGACCGGCGGCCCTCGCGCGGCCCGCGCCGCCGATCCGCACCCGCCAGCCCGACGGACCTCACCCCTCCCCCTCACCTGGCACGCCGACGAGCCGCTCCAGGGTGCGGATGTACAGCTGGGCGTTGTCGGGCAGGTCGGCGAAGGCGCGCACGTGCTCGGTGGACGTGCACCAGCCGGCCAGAGTGATGTACTCCACCTCGACGGTGGCCAGCTCGGCACTGTTGGCCGGGTAGTGATCCAGCCGGCGGCCGTCCAGCAGGTAGTGGGCGCCCATCTTCACCTCCGCCAGAGAGTCCAAGATGTCCAGCTTGGTCACCGCCAGGCTGTGGCACAAGACGACGGCGCCGTGAGACGGCAGCACCGGCCGCGCGCCGGGGACGCGCGCACAGAACGGAGCAGTGACGGTGACGTTAGCATCCCCCCCCCCCCACCGGGAGGTGGACCACCAGCGACGGCGGTCTGCCGGTCCGGCGACTCATCAATGTAACGACGGGTCTGATTAGACTGAAAGTGATGAACGCCATCAAAACGCCAAGCCGCCATGCTGCGAGTGTTTTGAATGTTTCGACAGCCCGCCATCTGTCAGTTGTACCACCAAACCAGTGTGCGTCACCCTTCCGCGGCATCTCACGGCCACAGCAGCGGCGGCAGGTGCGTGGTGGCTGCGGCGATCGAGGCAGACGCCCGCCGCCCGCGGCCTCCGCCGCGCGCGCGCAGTCCCCGCTGAGCGTCCGCTGCAGCACTCACGCCGAGTAGCCGTTGACCATGTTGGAGTGGCGCAGCTGGGCGCAGTCGAGCCAGCCGCAGCGCCGCTTTCGACCGGTGGTCACGCCGAACTCGGCGCCGCGCTCCTGCAGCAGCTCGCCGATCTCCTGCGCGCGCCCGACACCCGTGCACGTCAGCAGTGCAGGGGCCAGGGCGGCGGGAGGCAAGAAACACGGCCAGCCGTCACCACACGCTTATGCAAGTAGAGGAGGACAGAAGAACCGCTCGCAGCACGAACACCAAAGCACTACCTGCCATTCTAAGGCATCACAGCCATGTCAACGCGTAAGATACTATCCCAAACGCACGCAATAACCTGAAACAGCATCGCCAGCCCAGGAACTCTGCCCAAACCGGCGGAGCCCACTGTCGCCGCCGTGGCCGCGCGCTCACGTTGAGCTGTTCGGTGGGGAACGGGCCGACGCCGACGCGAGTCGTGTAGGCCTTGGCCACGCCGTACACGTGTCCTATGCTGCGCGGCGGCAGGCCCAGGCCCGTGCAGACGCCGCCGGCGCTGCAGTTCGAGGACGTCACGAACGGGTACGTGCCTGCCGGAGTCGGAGGGCGCAGTCACGGCGGGCGTCCCAGAGAACGGAATGGACGGTGCCAGGGGAGGGGGGGGGGGGGGGGGGGGCGGAGCAGGGCCCGAAAGGCGTCTGTGGGGTGAGGGCGCTGGAGGGGTCAGACCTTTGTGGGTGTCTGTCTGAGTCAGGGCGGTCAGATCTCGGCAGATGCCCGTCTGGGTCACGGTAGGCGCCCGCCGGTGTCACCAGGCCAGGTCACGGTGGATGCATGTTGGTGTCACAAAGAATCAGGTCACGGTGAGCGGCATCAGGGTCGGAGGGGTCAGAGGTCGGTACATGGTACAGACGCCCGGGGCGTCAGAGGTCAGGTCGCGGTATGACCTTGCCGGGTCACAACTCAGATCACGACAGGCATCCGTCGGTGTCCGGGTACGATTCGTTGATGGCAAGACGTCGTCACGGTGCGTACAGGTCTGCGCTAGAAAGACTCATGCTAAATCAGGTCAAACGGAACTCATGACGATGATAAGCGATTTAGGGTGCGCCGCCAACTGTGGCCGTTTTGCGTCCAAGTAGGTCACAGAAGGTACTTATTGGTAGGGCATCAGAGCGGGTCTCAACATGGATTTGTTTCAAGGAATATGGAACAGCACCTCGCTGAACGCCCCCGCCCACTTCAGGGGCAGCTTCGTCACGGTAGAGGGTCGCTAATCTAGTTTCGGCGCCAGTCTGTTGGAAATGATCACGTCCTTGACGGGCGGGGAGGGCGAGGGGTGGGCACACGCGCGGCACCCGACTGTCGCAGTCTCCAATGGACGCGCGCCACCTGCGACGCGGGCCCAGCGCGCCAGGTGTGACAGCCGACCATGCCGTGCGGGGCAGAGAGGAGGGATGGGCCGGGACAGCTGGCGCTCCAGCTGGCTCTGCTGAACGGGTAAAGTAGTGCCTGTTGATCTTTTCAGTGCTTCAAGGTTTGAAAACGGCCTGCACAGCCAGCACATTCAGCGGACGTAGTGCAGCGCTGGGCGCGCGGCTGGCCACGCTCGCCTGATCTCAATGGGAACGACTGGAACTGAAGATTCTATCACGGACAGACATGTGAACCAACGAACCACAGCTACGCTGTCTGGTTGATCAGCTCGTGACAAGTTTATAACATTATTACGCGTCCCTCGACTACAACGTCATTGTACAGAACCCATCATTTCCTACCAACCGTGTCAAAATTTGATAATGTTGGTGGAAAATGACACCATCTACGGCGCCACCGGATTCTCAAAATCAATTTTTGCCGCTGCTTTCGGCCTTCTCCTGGGCTTCGTCGAGCACATGTCAGTCTCTACGGCATCGTTATCCGAGGCGACTGTGACCGACGGCCAGGCGGGGGCTGGGTCCAAGCGTCCGTATCGCCACGCCGGTCGCGCGCCGACGGCTCACACCGGCACGTCTCGACGCCCGCCGTCCACGCAGCACATTCCGCCGCCGGCCGGCCGCGTCGGCTGGCAGCGCGGCCGCGACGGGCTGGCGGCGCGGCCGCGACGGGCCGACGCCGCGCCGCTCGCCAGCGACGGCGGCGGCGCACCGGCCGGTAGATCACAGCCTCGTGGTCAGACCCCCGCCACCTGTGGCACGATGCGGCAAGGGCGCTGAGCACAGGCCAAAGGACGCCGTTTTGGTCGTCCCAGAACACCGTGCGCATAATGCAGGCACCGTCTGCCACCAGTGCGGTCCAGAGCGGTGCTGTAGCCTTGCATGCAATAAAGGCCGGATACAGTGGCCAGGGGAGGTGATCGTACATGCAGAGCACACCGAAAACGGAAAAAGGGCAAGCAGACATGCAACAGGAAAGAGAAAAAACAAGCGACAGCAAGATCTAAGAACAAAGCCCGTGCAAACAGCCCTTAAGAGCCGTCCCGGGGCACCGGACATTCAAAGGTCAGAGCAGAGCAGAGCAGGCCACAGCAGGCCCTCACCGAAGTCAATGTCGAGCATGACCGCGTTGGCGCCCTCCACCAGCACGCGCTTGCCCTCGGCCAGCGCGCCGCTCACATAGCTGACCGAGTCGACGACGAGCGGCCGCAGCCGGGCGGCGAACTCGGCGTACCGCGCCAGCTCGGCCTCCACGTCCACCTCCAGCGCAGGGAACATGCGCTTGTGCAGCGCCACCAGCGACCGGTACCTGCTGACGCCGACGGCCCGACGTCACCCGGCGGCCGGCGAGGCGCGGAGGGAGGGCCGGAGAGGAGTGGAGCGAGGGTCGGAGATGCGCGGAGGGAAAGCCGGGGAAGCACGAAGGGAGGGCAGGGGAGGCGCGGAGGGAGGGCCGAGGGGGCGCGGATGGAGAACCGGGGATGCGCGGAGGGAAGGCCAGGGAGGCGCAGATGGGGGGGGGGGGGGGGCGGCGGCGAGAGACCGGCGCATGCTGGGACCGGCGGTATCGGAGACGTGGGGCGCTGACCGCGAGGCAGGAAGAGTGCAGGACGATAAGGACAGCAGGAGCACAGATACTGGGAACACGGCGGCCCGAGCATGAGACTGTGGGCACGGGGCAACACGAAGAATACAACACTGGGAGCACGGCAAAGGGAGCCTGGCACCAGAGACCAGTACTGATTCCCAAACAATAGGGTATTGTCAGTCCAGGTGACTCAGTTTGTTAGAGCGCCTGCCTTCCGATCCACCATCCAGGGCGAGATGATTTTGAGTTTAGGTAGTAAAATAATACAATTAAGTTTAGGATTTTGAGCATAGCAAATAGCAAACGCTTTAGGCGTTCGTTATTTGCCCTTGACAAGTATGGCCTGCGGCCGGTGGTAACGGCCGCGCTAAAAGGTCAGATGACGTCGGAGGGCAGGACGGACCGTGTGCTGATCCTGCCAATTGCAACCACTACATAAAGCGAGGTGCCGTTCCGGTTGACAACTTCACCTTCCTCCAACGCCCAGTGCGTACACTGGCGCACAACCGGCACACTGCCAACAACACAAGTGGCCTTTCCCGTGTGGCTGCCGTTTTGCATCGGTAAGACCGGCAACCAAACACAGTCATTACGCTTACCAGCGCACCCGCTACAGCAGTGGCCCGGCTCCAACAATCTCAGTCCCTCGCGCGCGGGCATGTCGTGTCAACACCGCGGCGCCGTACCGTTCCACGAAGTAGCTGAAGTCGCCGAGCAGGTCGCACACCCGCAGTCCGTTGCGGGTGGCCTTGGAC